AACAAATTGAAGTTTTTCACCTTTCTCTTACATGACATGAAATCATTAGAAAGATGGGATATGAAGAATCATATTCTGTAATGTGTAGCCATTGTGACGTGGAATGTACTTCCTACCTAAACTAGAGTCAATGGATGAGATCGTGCATTTGCGTTCTCACATTGCAATGCAAATAATATGTTGCACATTGTACGTTCATTTTCAAGTACTCCTCTTTTCCACAAGTCCTCATATGAGATCTTGAGAAGGTTTTCTATTTAATATTAAAAACAATTATACAATGGCTAGATTTCAAGGCTTGACTCTAAGACATTTTATAGCCTAATTTGCAACTCAGCAAATAGAATCAGTGACTTCTTAGTCTCTTGTCAGACTGCTAGATTTGTGAGAAGCTCGCTGAATATTGAAACACACTAAACTCAAAATCTTTCTAGTCTAGTGCTTCTCAAACTTAGATAAATTATTCAAGATTGTGTAAGGATAGTTATTTTGTGACTTAAGACACACAGATTCATTACTCAATCAAAACAGGAGCATTTAAATTTATTTTACATGTTTTACCTATATTGGGTAAAAAGGAGTTTCTGATAAATGGTTTTGGGTCATAGAGAAAAAAGTTTGGAAAGCATTGTTCTAATCTGTTATCCATTTGTTTCCAAATATAATCAGGAAAATCACTCAAGAAAGAAATGGATGGAAAACATTTTGAATGCAAAACGTGTAATGCTGATCTGATCTTGTCAAACTGGAGGCATATAACTTAAACCAGACCCAGGACATTTTATGGTCTGAAGTCATAAAGGTCAGAGCAACATGTATTGCTCAGGATACAACTAATTTGAAAGTGAGACTTTTTACGCATTGCTGCTTTGAGAAAGCCTATGAGCAAAATTTAAAGACAGAGCAAAGTGCTGGATAAACATGAAGAAACACAGAAACATTCTCATGTATAACTAACAGTATAGCTTTATGACTTTTATGAACAGTACAATTTTACAGGGTAATAAGCCCTTTTGGGTAGGAACTAGATAGTACATGAAAACTACAGGCAAAGACTTGCATGAATAAAAAATAAAATAAAAAAATCAAAGGCTTTTGTTTAAACTAATGCATGCAATCAAAGTTTCTTAAAGAATCTTTACTTACAAGTAGCAGTTGAGGTTTCTCATATAAATTTGTAGTTGAAGGATTGGACAATAGGATTCTACTTGAAAATTTATCTTTCACTAAAATAGTGCTTGATGGACAGAGAAAAATTATCCTCTACAAATGTTCTTTGTCTAATGACTCTTTGGTTTATAATAAATCATGTATATATAATACATTCAGTGTCAAATTATAGTGTATTTAGTATGCAAAGTTAGCCAAGAATTAATGAAAAATTGTCTAGTTCTAACATAAACACTAGGAATGTGTCCAGATATCAGACACTTAATGCTACCAATAAAAATCTTATATCTGGTCAATTTTTTGTTTTGTTTTGTGGAAAGAAAAAACACGAAAAAAATGAGTGAAAATGTGGGTGGACTACATATGGAAAATGACACCATCAGTGCTTCTAATGAAATTCCAGGATTGGGATTCAAATGGTAGCATAATCAGTGTCTCCAAGATTCAAAGTGCTGCTTGCAAATGAATTTACAGTATATATGTTACACAAGAAACTTTCTCTCAGTCTTGCTTAGAGTTCAAGGTATTTGAAGAGTAAGACATGTTTATTAAAAGTATACAAGTAGTATAGACTAGTTATAGAAGCAACAAATAATTATGGATTTTAAGATAAATTTGAGAATAATTAACCTTCTTTCAAAGTTTAAAGCAACTTTGGTTTAAACTTTGGTTTATCTATAACCCACCCAGCCACCTACTACCTAGGAGAAGGATAATCCCTACACACACTTTTTCCTATCTACATTGGGAACTTTGTGAATTTCATTCCCTCTGTGGGAAAAAAAAAACCCAGGTGTATCATTCTGAACAAAATTCTCTTGGGATGCAACTTATACCATCCAATAACAATATTGAACACCAGCAGCCCTGTTGGACTAAGTGAGAAAACCCTTTCCCTCTCTTCACTAAGCTATAACTGGGGTTGGCACAGATGTTATTTAAAAGATTTTCATTTTCCAGGACAAACCATTTTTTAAAATTTAGCTAATGTTCTTAGGAAAAAAGAAAGAAAGAGTGGGAAAAGAAGGTAGATTGTATGTATGTTTCATATTGTTTACATGCTTGAATGTAGCATTACATCCTGTTTCTCCATTATCTGCATTTATAGATTTTTATAGATTTTTAAAACATTTCCTTATAGATTTTATATCTACAGTATTGCATTTTTTGAATTCATTCTTTTTTTGCTAGGACCCCTAGTTTATGCAGGGAATATCTTCTTTGGTAATATTTGGTCTTTCTTTGCACTTGGTCATCAAACATTAAATGGCAATCAAACATTTAAAAAGTTTCATGATGCCACTTAGATCTAAAAGCTTGATAATTCTATTAGTTGAAATGTCCACAGAGTACTAAGGTAGGCCCAGTGTGTATTTGGAAACCTCTGCTGATACACCAAGGGACTAAAAGGCTATTGTTGCAAGTACAGTATAAACAAGCCTGAACTTGTTTCATCTGTTATTGTACCAATCCTAGTTTTAGAATTACAGCTATGTATGTTGTTGTCTCAACTCTTGAAATATTAGTCTCTATGGAGCTGCATAAAACTGAATTCCATGCTGCCTCATATCAGTGTTGTCATTAGGAAATCCACTTAAGGGACAGGTAGAAAGTGCACTATACAGGTAGGTAGTCCTTGATTTACAACAGTTCATTTAGTGACTGCTTTAAATGCTTTAGTACAACAGTACTAAAAAAAGTGACTTATGACCGTTTTGCACATTTACTACTGTTGCAGTATCCCGATGATCACACGATCAAAATTTGTATGCTTGGCAATTGGCTCGTACTTATGACAGTGTAACCACCTTTTGCGACCTTCTGACAAGCAAAGTCAGTAGGGAAGCCAGATTCACTTAACAACTGTGTTACTAACTTAATAACTCCAGTGATTCGCTGAATAACTGTGACAAGAAAGATCATAATATGGGGCAAAATTCACTTAACAAATGTTTCACTTAGCAACAAAAATTTTGGGCTTGCTTGTGGTAGTAAGTCAAGGACTACCTATATGCCATATTTATTTATAATTAGAGTTTATTTTATCCTGCACATGGGCATTGTCCTTGTTAAATGAGGAGAATCTTAAGGTATTCACAAGCAAAAATGCCAGGTAGTCCAGAGTGCCCTGTTTCTGCCAATACTGCTATTACAATTTAAAAAGAAAAAAAAATCTCTTAAAAATGAAAATGCATGTTTGCTCATGTAGTCTCAGTAATGGCATTCATCTCAACTTGTGTTTATTGATCACCAAAATGCTATACTCTGGTTTTAAATTTATATATATATATATATATAAATAGTCTCAGGTATTATATGTATATGTACAGATGATTATCATGCATGATATATTTATATGAAATGTATACAACAGTTTCAATAAAGAGTTACTATATTTCATTGTAATCACCCATCTATACTCTGTGCTTGCAAACAATTTGTTCATAAATTACAAGTAACATCAGGACTTCAATCTGAGGAGTAACTGGGATTATACATTTATCTTTCCAATTCTGAAGGCATAGCCTTTCAGCAATGAAAAGGGTACAAAGAATTTTGTTGTTCAGCCATATAGATGTTCACAAAATAAAATCTTGCCACAAAGCCCAAATTAAATTAATATATGTAATTATTTTGGACCTCTAGAGTCCTTTTCCAGAAGGCAAGAACCACAGAGAAGGTATACTTCCTAGTTCCCGTATTGGGCCTAAGTCTATTTTGTTGACTTTTCCTAGGACAGGCAAAAAAACCCAAAAGGGGAGTAAAGTTATCCCTGAAATCAGCACTACAGCTCATGTTGTAGATGTTTGTGTGGTTGTGGAGACTTATGACACTGGACTTAGATCAGCTGTAGCTTCCAAATGCTCTTCAAGAGCAATCCCATAGAGAGGATATTGCAATATATCTTCTACATGACACGACTAAAATGAGAGTAACTATGAGAAAGGACTCCTGGTCCAGAAAAGAGTCCAATTGTCACACCAGATGAATCTGATCCCTCCTGGCCACAGCTGCTATTTGCTCTTTGAGTAGAAAGTGTAAATTTAGCAAAAATTTACTATGGTAGTTCTATTTGGGAAAATACAATCCCATTTAGAAAAATACAATCCCTGGCATTAGAAAAATCATAAAGCAGTCAAGAATTTAAGTCTTAATTCCTTTCTATTGAGACCCCTACAATATCCAGGCACAGGATGAGAGTCTGAAAGCATTGATCAGAGTTAAGACATATGGCTGAGTAATCTATTGAAATTTCTGATGCTGGCATTGAGGCAGTTTCCTGTTGTCTAGGCAAAATGGGAATCCCCAATTCCTGATTCTATTCAGTCTTGCATATTTATTTAAGAAAATTTATATGGCTGCCCAACTCACTCCCAGTGACTCTAGGCAACTTATAAAGATAACACCCCAATACAAAAACCAATAAGAATCCCCCCCCCCCAGCCCTTAGTAAAAACAATCAGACAAGCCATTTGATAGGCCCCATATCATTCTGGAGTCCCCAGCCCATTGGCAGAACCTGGTCTTCAGGATTTTGCAAAAGAGTGTTAAAAGATAAGGACCAGCCTTATCTTTGCAGGGATGTCCCATCGGGAGGGAGCTATCACAGAGAAAGTCCTTCTTGGTTCCGCTAGACAAACCACCTTAGGAGATGGGACCTAAAGAATTTCCTGCCTCATCTGGGAAGTGACTAGGGCATGGGTAATTGTGAACAGGGATTATTGGTCTATTGGGGGTTGTTAAATTCCAGCACAATTCTTACTTATATGTCTTTGTACAAAGGTAGTTTAGCGAAAGCCTGGGTGACATATTCACCTATTGTTTTACAGATAAGACAGAACTTGAGATCAGCTTGACAGCTGTACTGAAAGCAGACATTTTAACATCTATGAAGTAAGCAAAACCATTCCTGTGGAAATATGTGTTATTTCATTCAATACATAGATTTATCATTGCTTGTCTTAACAAGATGGCATATCCTGGAATATCTAGATAAAGACTATACAATAAGACAGAATTCTGCATTATTATATACAAGAAGAGGGGTATTAACTATTTAATTAAGGTAACATCAGATTGTTCAGTTCTTATCTTGGTTCCATCCACAGAAAGATCAAATATATTTTCATCTCCTTAACTTGATACTTGTATATACTGGTATAAATAAGATAACTTTCATATATCAACTTCCATAATTGGAATTTAGATGAACATTGAACATCTTCCATGTCATAATCAAGCCTTCTATTACAAGGAAATAATTTCATTTTACTTGTTAGAATGATAATCAGATTTGAGCCTGGAATCATCAAGATTTTATCATAATAATTTAAAATTAAACTTGGACTACTGGAAGGTAGAGCTAAACATTTCCCTTCAGGAAGGAATTTGTATTTTTTCAGTTCCTTCTTTAGAGATTAACTAACATAAGAAGTACTGCCCTATATCATATGGCAAGGTAACTAATTTCTCTCTCTCTCTCTCTCTCTCTCTCTCTCTCTCTCTCTCTCTCTCTCTCTCTCTCTCTCTCTCTCTGTATTGATTGCAAGGCTTCCTTGAAAAATACAATCTCACACAGATACACACACAACATATTCTCAGGGAAGCCTGTAGTCTAATTTATTTGTTCTGTGACAGGCTGCCTTCTGCTGGACTATCAGGTGAATAAGATGCATTACCAAATTACGACTTACAAGGTAACATCTTGACAAGATTATTAAATATTGACAATTTAAATGTTGCTGTTTCCCAATCTACTGGTATTGCAGAACCTGGAAATAACAAACCTGAAAAGGGCCTTAAGTGAATATAGTATGCATGTACATATTATGCTCTGCTATTCTGAATGCTACCCAGTTTTTGTGTCCAGTGTGGGCACTATGGAGCACATTATTTGCAGAAGAAAGGTCGTCTTCTTTTATTCCATGAAGAGCAGCTTTGCATTTGGCTTTTAAAAAGTTGCTTGCATCATGCCAAAAAAGGTTCAGAGAAAAATGGCATCTATTCCTTCACATTGTGCTAAAATTTCTGGCAAAGTATACAGCCATCTCATTTTGAAGTAAAATACACTTACATTATTTTATGAGACGCCACTAGTGCAGTTACGCTCTGCTTTTGAGGTCACAAATTAAGATGTTAACATTTTCATTAAAATGAAAAGAAAAAGAAAAATAACTAAACCGAGTCACAAAGAGAACACTCTTTTTCTGTTTAACAAGAGTATCTGAGAACAAAAGATCGAATGAATAAGTGTTCTGGAATAAGAGTAGTGACGCCTTTGCAACAACAAATTATTTTAATTGCAATCTACTATGCTTTGGTCAGATTCCTTGTTGGAGAGCTATATGCCCAATTCTGGGCACTGTACTTTAAGGAGTTATGGCTATGCTTCTGGTTTTACTGATAATTGTGCTCCAAAGTAAGAGTATAAATAACCCCAAAGTATTATTGTGTTCCTCCATAACCAGAATATAGAGGCTCCATCTCTTTCTTTTCAAACATGTGCTGTGCCATGTTTATAAATTTGATTTTAAATTGTCTGAGACTCAAGACAAATAGGTACAAGAATGTGCAGAGCCTTTTAAAGTATGCAGTATTGGGGACATGACCTTTGGTAACACTACAGGTGAAACTCGAAAAATTAGAATATCGTGCAAAAGTTCATTTATTTCAGTAATGCAACTTAAAAGGTGAAACTAATATATGAGATAGACTCATTACATTCAAAGCAATATAGTTCAAGCCGTGATGTGTCATAATTGAGATGATTATGGCTTACAGCTCATGAAAACCCCAAATCCACAATCTCAGAAAATTAGAATATTGTGAAACGGTTCAATATTCTAGGCTCAAAGTGTCCCGCTCTAATCAGCTAATTAAGCCATAACACCTGCAAAAGGTTCCTGAGCCTTTAAATGGTCTCTCAGTCAGGTTCAGTAGGAATCACAATCATGGGAAAGACTGCTGACCTGACAGTTGTGCAGAAAACCATCATTGACACCCTCCATAAGGAGGGAAAGCCTCAAAAGGTAATTGCAAACGAAGTTGGATGTTCCCAAATTGCTGTATCAAAGCACATTAATAGAAAGTTATGTGGAAGGGGAACGTGTGGGAAAAAAAGGTGCACAAGCAGCAGGGATGACCACAGCCTGGAGAGGATTGTCAGGAAAAGGCCATTCAAAAGTGTTGGGGACTTTCACAAGGAGTGGACTGAGGCTGGAGTCAGTGCATCAAGAGCCACCACACACAGACAGATCCTGGACATGGGCCCAGTGTGAAGTTTCCACAGTCTGTGTTGATTTGGGGAGCCATGTCATCTGCTGGTGTTGGTCCACTGTGCTTCATTAAGTCCAGGGTCAATGCAACCGTCTATCAGGAGATTTTGGAGCACTTCATGCTTCCTTCTGCAGACAAGCTTTATGGGGATGCTGACTTCATTTTCCAGCAGGACTTGGCACCTGCCCACACTGCCAAAAGCACCAAAACCTGGTTCAATGACCGTGGGATTACTGTGCTTGATTGGCTAGCAAACTTGCCTGACCTGAACCCCATAGAGACTCTATGGGGCATTGCCAAGAGAAAGATGAGAGACATGAGACCAAACAATGCAGAAGAGCTGAAGGCCGCTATTGAAGCATCCTGGTCTTCCATAACACCTCAGCAGTGCCACAGGCTGATAGCTTCCATGCCACGCCGCATTGAGGCAGTAATTGCTGCAAAAGGGGCCCAAACCAAGTACTGAGTACATATGTATGCTTATACTTTTCAGAGGTCCAATATTGTTCTATGTACAATCCTTGTTTTATTGATTGCATGTAATATTCTAATCTTCTGAGATTGTGGATTTGGGGTTTTCATGAGCTGTAAGCCATAATCATCACAATTATGACAAATCACGGCATGAACTATCTTGCTTTGCATGTAATGAGTCTATCTTATATATTAGTTTCACCTTTTAAGTTGCATTACTGAAATAAATGAACTTTTGCACGACAGTCTAATTTTTCAAGTTTCACCTGTATGTGGATGATAAAAAGAATCAGAATTTTCTGCTCTGAAAGGTTGAGATTCATCTGTATTTAAAAATGGGGGGGGGGCAGGAAGGATACTTCAAAGTTTTTTTCTGTGACCTGATCCATAGCCAGCTGTAAAAAAGGACTGAAAGATACACAAATTCCAAAGTATTTGTATTTCTCTGAGCGTTATGTATTCAATGCTGTTAAATTGGTTTGTCTATGGAGATTCTCAATCATCCAGGTCATGGTTATCCCAAAGATGCTTTTTCAAAAGGCAACTGGACTTTCTTTGTTTTTCCTTGAAGACATGTTTCTTCTCATCCAAGAAACTTCTTCAGTTCAGAAGATGTTAAACTAATCAGTTCAGGGACATTAAACTAGTTTCTTAATAATATAATAGATGCAAAATAAAATGATTGGAAGATAATTGTAATGTAAAGTAACATGAATATTTATAGGTCTATGGAGATTCTTAGTCATCCAGATCATGGTTGTCCCAAAGGTGCTTTTTTTTCAAGAGGCAACTGCATTTTCTGGTTTTTCTTTGAAGACATTTCGCTTCTCATCCAAGAAGCTTCTTCAGCTTCTTACTAACAGACCCCAGTATGTGCGACTGGAACAAACATTTCTAACATTATTTTCTTAAGCACAGGTTCTCCTCAGGGTTGTGTCCTAGGTCCGCTGCTGTTCACCCTGTTGACCCATGACTGTTGTGCTAGGTTTGCCACCAACCATATTGTGAAGTTTGGGGATGATACAACAGTAGTGGGCCTTATTCAAGATGACAATGAGGTTGCTTACCGCAAGGAGATTGAGGGCTTGGTGAACTGGTATAAGGAGAACAGCCTAGTTTTAAACATTGGAAAAACCAAAGAGATCATTGTCGATTTCAGAAAAGGCAGGTACAGCCACACTCCTCTGTGTATTAATGATTCACCTGTGGAGATGGTTACCAGTATCAAATTCCTGGGTGTGCAGTTAATAAGTGGGCTGGCATGGTCACTCAACAGCGAGACACTGGTGAAGCGAGCACAGCAGCACCTGCATTTTCTGCGTCGCATGAGAAAAGCACATTTTCCTTCCCCTGTCCTTACCACTTTCTACAGAGGAACGATCAAGAGCATCCTATCGTTCAGCATCACAATCTGGTTTGGAAGTATCACTGCTTCAGACAGGGCAGTCCAGAGAGTGGTGAGGATGGCAGAAAAGATTATTGGCAGTTCCTTCCCTTCCATCCAGGACATGGCATATAAGCATTGCTTGAGCAGGGTCTGTAAGATTGTCTGGGACACTACCCATCCTCTTCACAACCTGTTTTCTTTGTTATCTTCTGGGAGGAGGCTCCGTGGTATCTGAAGCAGAACATCCAGCTTCAGTCACAGTTTTGTTCCATACAATATTAATCTTGTGAACTCTAAAGCTTCCTCCTTCCGTTATGTATTCAAGATGGACAATGATTAATATTTATGTTATTTATATGTAAAGGTGTAGGTCTATACATACGTTGTATATAGTATGTTTAAATGTGTGTTATGTATGTGTAGACTTTGAGAGCAAGCAACTAAATTTCATTTTTAATATGTGCCATTATGCCCACAGTAAAAAATGACAATAAAGGTTATCTATCTATCTATCTATCTATCTATCTATCTATCTATCTATCTATCTATCTATCTATCTATCTATCTATCTATCTATCTATCTATCTATCTATCTACTTGGATGAGAAGCGAAACGTCTTCAAAGAAAAACCAGAGAGTCCAGTTGCTTCTTGAAAAAAGCACTTATGTGGGATGGATATTTATAGCTAACAACTGTACAACCTGTAATGATTTACTCAAACTAGCACATTTTAAAAAAATTTCTTGTGGAATATTCAGAATTTTTTAATGTGCAGTTGATTTGCATTCTGTTTGGTCCAATGATAACATGGGAACTCTGAAAAATAATTTGAATAAGAGCTAAAGGAAAATCATTGTTAACTCAGAGTCTGCTAAGATTTGGCTGTAGAAAGTCTTTTCTCTATTTCCTACAGATAACATAATAAATTTAATATATTCCATTTCTAGCTTAGATTTCTATTACTACTCAACCTGTTTTAAAACCTTATCAATTTACAATTACCATAATCAAATATTGTTTTACATCAACAAATTATTACTTCGAATATCTCTACCAGATATGTTAAAGTTCTTAATCTCTCTCATCCCTCTTTTTATCACCAATCTCATTCATTTCTTCTTCCAATAATAACTTAGTTAAGAAAAAAAATAACGTTAAACCTTAATTCCTTTCAATTCATTACACAAACTTCAAATTCCATCCAATTAATTATCATATCTTATCAGATCATATTGTTATACACAAAAATCACCTAATCAATTTAAGCACTTCAAAATTCCATTCTCATAACTGAATGTTTTTTCAATTCCAGAACATACATACATATACATATACATATACATATGTATATGTATATGATTATATATTTTTTATCCTTAATACAATCCATAAAACCAAGGTTCTTTTTTGTTTTTGTTTTTTCCACTCCAATTTTAACTTTCATATTTCTGTACCAAGCAAATTTCCATAAATCAAAAAAAATCATCTAACTAATTTAAACACATATGTATATAATTGAATTTTTCTTACTTCTAATTCTAGATCATTATCCTTAAAAC